CGAATAACAACTCGTGAGATCGCTGAGAGATTAAATTTATCGAATTCGACCGTTCATGATCATTTGAAACGCGTCTGATTGAAAATCGTCTTTCATTTTCATAAGAAAAAACGAAATTACTTTCCGAACAACCTAATATATAAAGTGTCCCCAACCTACGGGATCACTTCTCATGAGCAGGTACAGCGAACTAAACTGAGAACGAAAAATCCTTTACCATTATACAATTTTATAATATTTTAACAGATATTAATTTCTGAATATCACTGAATATGCGCGCGAATCATCTAGTATATGCCCATCGATCGCGGTCGTTTGTTGCGCGGCGCGGGGAGTAATGATTGCTTGATAGACGCGCCACTTGAGTTATGGCGCTTAGCACGCGGCTACCAGGTAATCCCCGTGCAAAAATCGACAACAAATGATAGGCATAGTCCTGGTGGTAGTCCGTACGGCTACGTGCTTATTTGGTGATCTTTAAAAATTAATATCTCCTAAAGTATTGCGAAAATTGCAAAATAAAGGACTTTTCGATTTAGTTTAGTCCGTTCTACCTGCTCACGAGAAGTGATCTCGCGTAAATTGGGGATATTCAGTATATGAAATATGTCCATATTTGGACATATTTCATACATATATAATTATATATAATTTTACATAATTTTATATGTATAATTTTATAAAACTTTTTCCCGAGTTTATAGGAAATTTTGGTGATTAGCGACTCAGGAACCTCATAGAAAGAGAGTGGTAAACTGATAACGCGACGCCGGTCTTCTCTGGACATCTATTATGGAACCTATTATGGAACATGTCGGAATGGATTTCGATCGGAATTATTCAATTATTCTTTAGATTTCTATTGTGTTTTCTAGGGAAAGCAAAATAATTTCGATCGAAATTTGTGGGTATTCCGACATGTCCTCTATAATAGATATTATACCCAGATTGATTTCCAAGCACTAAAACTGTATAAAGCCTATTATCGATGGATACATAGGTTAAAGAAGAACAACTTATAACATGACAAATTGTGATTTTTCTTGCATCCATATAGTAGACTCTACGCAAAGCTTTGGTGCTTGAGACCAATCGGAGTAACTTTTTTCTTAGAGCGAAATCGCTTGTTGAAAAGTGAAAATTTTTATGTATGTATGCACACAAAAAATTTTCATCTTTTACGTTTCCGCCCTAGGAGAAAAATTACATGAGCGACTCCCTGAGGAGATAGCGACTCCATGAGAAGATAGCGTGATCAGTTTGCCACGCTGTTTCTACCACAGACTTATATGAATAGACTACTGACTCAATATGATAAAAAGAGATGAATCTGATTCCGAGCTATCCTTGTTTCAGTTCCTATATGCGTATATATGCGTCCTGTCTGTGAGTATCACGTGAATTTATATGAAAATACTAACATTAGTCATAATATAAATTATCACAAATGTCAAATGTCATTTCATGGTGACCTTTCATTCTATTATATTCTAATCAACAAAAATATAAAAAATGATAATTTATAGTATGATAAACTGCAAAAGAGTCGATATAAAATAGAAAATAATATGAATATATATAAGCCCTATAAATAGATTCTGAATATAAGTCCTGTAAATTTTGACTTACGTAGTGATTATCCATGTAATTTATACATGTGTGAGTGAGGGAACTGAAATATGGCGCTGCTCAGCGCTTCTTCAAACATGGAAGCGAAGTTGATAGTCTACTTATAGAACTTTGTGGTTCCTACCGATAATTCATCGAAATAATGTATGTCACGTATGTAAGATTACAATTTTCATTATCTAAATCTAAACATTTTAGTATTTAAGTGATAAATAAAATTATACAGCTTGTTATTTTCAACTTAAATTTCCAGATATTTTTTTATGTATGAAAACAAATAAATAAAATGTAGCATTTTACGTTGCTTACATTTTTTTTCCTCTTCTTGTTTCCCCCATTTTTTCTTACCTCCCCATTTTTCTTTTTTTTTCCTTTTTTTTTAAATATCTAAATTTTCGGATACTTTTTTCTTGTATCTGTATTAAGTAATTATTAAAAAATATACCTGTATTTATACTTAAATACTTTTTCCACACAATACCTATATCTATATCTGAATATCTTTCAAACATATCTGTTCTACAAAGTGTATCTGTTCCAATACTGGTCAAATATGTCACATCTGATTCTGATACAAATTTCTGACGGCGATATGTATAACTTGTATGCGATCGTGTACGATCATGTGTTCAACCCTGCAATTGGCATGTGATCGCATACGATAATAAGATTCGCATATACTTCGTAGGTGATCGGATATGATTCGTATACCTTTTATATACTATTCATATACAAATTTTATAACCAAATTTATGATAGGATAGTGACCAGACCTTGTACAGTAAGGGTTAATAACATGTCAATAGTGAATAGATTCAGATCAGATATTTCAGCTGATCGAGCATACACCGTATCCGCATTAAACTTTGGTTCGGCAGAAAACTTCTGGACATAATCTGACAGCAGACTAACAATAAAATATAAATCTATTATTTCACAATCATTTATCATGAGATATTTTATTTATATAAATAAGTTACAAAATGGCAAATTCTTCTCGCTTCTGATGATCTATTATCATATTTTATTTATAGATTCTATGATATTTCCGCTGAAGAAATTTCCGTGAATGTTTCGTAAAATCTACTTTTTAACTAATTGTAGTTCGCAAAAAGGTTGAAAATCTGATTTATCTGACACGTGTGGATCAAGTTTGACAAAAGTGTATTTTTGATTCTCTCTTTTCAGTAAGTTCTCTGTTTTCCATGATTACTACGAAATTTTTCTTGAATCTGAGATTTTCACTGTCAGAGTAAATTTCGCAGAGATTCAATAGATGCAGCACGAGCAGCTCGCGTCGATTGGCTTTTGCGTAAGTGTCACCACGATTCAATGACCGATTCGATCGATTTTTACAATAGCCTACGAAGTTAATTGATAGTCTCGCCTTACAATGTTATCCTCGTGACACGCCGCGTACTTATCTGCGACAAATTAATTAACGACTAAATTATAAGGCGAGTAACAAAAATTTCGCGTACGCCGTTCTTCTTCCACAGACCGCTTAATTGTTCCGTTGTGCGAGAACAAAGTGACATGCGTGATTAAAATAGTACCTACGCGTTTCCATTTCGTGTGCGTAAACGGTGCGTAAGTAGAAAGTGCTCGGCAAAACAGATTCAAGGTTTCGCGTGCAATATTATTCATGGACTCGCGAGCGATCGACTTCTCTAAGATAATGACAACGACGACGGTACTGAGAGAAGCACGTGTTCACGTTGGAAACTCAGTTAGCCCGTCTCTTCCTAATGAACCGTGTCACATAATTGAATTCAATGCCGACGACAAAGCGGTCATTAGAGGCGTGGAAAATTCGTTCAATATGACATGCAAAGAATATCAATTCCATTATCAAACTCCGCCAATTTCCAATGGAAAATGATTCATCACAACATTTCAGAACATTTCAGAAACTAATGACAGCGGCAGAAAAACCTATTCATTTTCACATGTAGTAGGGACAATTCTGTTGCGACAGTAATAATTGCTTTCTTTATGTATTAACGTAATAAAATATTCATAATTTCGAAATAATATTCATTATTTCAAAAGTTCGGTTCATAAGCAAGAGATAATTTTTTAATTACCATAAAAATGGAGACGTATTCTTCCTTTCACAATTCAAAATACAGTGTAATAATTTATCATAAATTGAGAATGACTAATTACCACATAATTATCTAAAATCAATTTTTCCATTTAAAACTGTTCAAACTTTCAAAAAAAAAAAAAAATGTAACACAATATCGAATTATTCTTGTGTTTAAGAAATAATTTATACGAGACTCTCGAAATTACAATCACTCTTTTTATTATCATGGAATTTTACCGATTTTTTAATTATATTTTTTCTCCGGAATTTTTTTCTGATATCACCCTACCACATATCATTTTTGTAAGTTACAGTTATACGTTGCACATCACTATAACTGTACCCCAACTTGTTGGGCGTGCCCATACTTGTTTATCACCTCAAGATTGCCGCGATAATTAACATGAGAACAGTCATTCCAATGACCGTTCACCCAAATTTGACACATGCTTATATCGAAAGATATTATGGATTTTCTTTTACTAGACATTTCTCGTAATGCTCCGATTTTAATATAGATCTCTATTTCGTACATTAAATATAATAATTTCCCATAACTCATGTTATAGATATGATAATTTATTAATTTTTAAATAGATGGTTTGTTATATTCAAAATAAAATTATAGGTACAATGGCTAATATAAAAACGTTTAAAAAAATATTTCAATTTTAATTATTTAAAAAAAATAAAAAAGGATTTTTAATTTTGTGTTAAATCTGAGATTATTTAATTGTTTCTCTTTGGATTTCGAAATAACGTCGTTTTTCGAGTGAGAATCTTTTATAAAGTTATCAACTCTGAATATCAGTATGGTTCAAAATATCTCAGAAAAAAATTGTATATATAACTTTTTTATCAATTTATTTCTTAAAAATTCAAATAGAATGTTAAAAGCCAATAGTTTGTATCGTAGAATTATTTGTTAAGTGTGAATATCAATAGAAGTAGTTCAATTTTTTTTCGTCCATTTAAGTCTGACGCATAACGAGATATGAACAAGAATTACGTAGACTGTACAACTACCAATCGCCTCGAAAAACAAGAAATAACTTGATACGATACATGGTTGCGATACGCTGTCATATAATAATTATATTAACTCTTTTATCACTCACAAATATCTTCCTAATTCTTAGAAAAGATGCGCTATATTCAACAAAATTCAATAATTATATGATATACAATTAATGTTTCAAAAAGGATTAACGAGACAAAATATAATTCTACAAGGAATTCTTCTTTATAAGCGACGGTTTTAAAATTGCCATGATTTTTATGTAATCAAGATATTTCAAACTGCAGTACCTTTTGTCGTGGACGTACGTGGTGTTCTAGGTGTTCCGGGAACGTCTAAATCGGTTTCTTCGATATTGTCACTCCACGAAACCGCCCTTAAAGGTAAAGGTTTCTTGATTATCGAGTTATCATCTTCGCCATCGTACATCTTTAGTTTCGTGCACTTGCTAGATACTCCGTTCATGACAATCTTCCGGCGCCGATCGTTCGATTCTTGACGCTTGTTCCGATTCGGAAAATTTGAAGGTTTTCTGTCTTCGGAATGTCGAGCGGTTCGGAAGAGTTGTACTGTACCTAGAAACATTTGAAACGTATTGTCAAAAACGAGTTCATAAAATTAATTAGATATATTAGAATCTCGGAGTTAAATGCGACATTTTTGTGTAAACGCTTTGTATAAAAGTTATCAAACAATATCAAAGATAAATATTTCAATATTGAACAATATATAAAACCATAGTATCTCTTGCATCATTATCTTTTTTCTTTAACGTTTATCTATTTTTTATTTCTTAAAATTTAAGTATTAATTATATGAGGATTATTTTTATATTTAAATGACAATGATAACACAGTTCCGTTAATGCAATATTAAAATAATCGGAAGTCTTCTAAAATTAAAAAAAAAAAATCTTGTAATCGTTATTATGTGTTTCAACATTCCCTCTTTATTCAATAAAATGTAATAAACATTAGATATCACTTTAAAGAGCCTCTCTTCACTGAACATCACTCGCAGTTACCGCTTGACATTTAACATTTGTCGTATCAAGAACTTACAACTCCGCGTCACGCGCAGGAAAAACAATCAGTGTCGTTCGCGAATCAGGAAACTTATCGAAATAATTTACACTATAAAATTCAAATTTAAATGTTTACATGAGATAAACCACAGATCTTCTCGAAACTTTTCTATATCCGATCCGTTCCTAATGGGCTGATTTAAACTTACTTTTAATATGGCTTGCTCGCGGCAAAAAAACTGTTTGTCCTGACGACAACCTCGGAAGTTACGCGCCGGCAAGGGCCGTGCGTGACGCACGCGAGGGCGGCACGTGCAAAGCAGAACAGAGAAATCGCAGCTAAGAGGAGATAAGCCGGCCCCGCATGCAACAAGCGACGGACGCGTGGAGAAGCCGCGATGCAAACGATACTCAAGACGGGCGGAGCGCGACTGATGTGGACTGATGCGAGTATTGCGAGCTCAACCGAACGTAGACCGAGGGACGGGTGGTAAGCGAATGTCACCCACAAGTCCTTTCGTATATATGCGCGCGGCCCCTGTTCTCTCTCTCTCTCTCTCTCTCTCTCTCTCTCTGTCTCTCTCCCTCCCCCCTCTCTTTCTCTCTCTCCGTCAGCTACTGTATCATAAAGAGCCACGAGCCCTCCTCACGTCAGCGATTACGCGAGAGACAGAGAGACGACGATTTTTGCCTCCGATTTGAAAACACGCCGGGGTATCCAGACATTGCATCGAGTCATTAAAATATTGATAAATATCAAGTTATTAAAATAATATTAAAAATCGCATTCAAAGAGATTTTTGGTTTATCATTACCAAATCTCTTAGTATTTAGTTTCTCTTCATTATCATCTTCCATGCATTACTCGCATTGATGATCGACAATGCGGAAATGACTTTGCAGGACTCAGAATCACCTGATCCTTGAGATTTGAATGCATCGGGGGGAATTAATAGAATCATGCCCTCTTGGATTTCCTTCTTTTCTTTTGTATTTTGTATTGATCTATCCATGTCTCTTTCATCCATTCTGTCAAAAAAAATCGCTTAAATATTATTATGAAATATTATTGTAAAATTATAAGATTACGATCTTTAAATAAGATTAATATAAAAATTTAATAAAATTTGATTGTAAGTTAATTTAACTGACTAAGCTAATTAATTGATTGGATAACATTACTTGATAAAATTTTATAATTGGTTTGTAATCAAAGAATTATTCTTAGATTAATTAAAAGAAAGAAGATTAATTGAAAAAAATTGGAAAAAGAAAAGGGACTTTTTTTGTAAGTCTGTAAATTCTAGGACATAGAAGAGTCTAATAATACTATCTCGATTCGTCAGTAGGGAAATCCCGACTTTCTTTACGTCAGCTTAAGGTGTAATCAGAGAAATCCTTAGGGAACTGATTCCTCTGGAATTTCCACTTGGTTGTTTCCCACAAAGATATGTAATGCACAGCCATCATTTCAACATTAAGTCGTCGTTCTTTCCTTCGTTCGTTACTGAAACTATTCTCTCGCTAATTAAATCTTTAAATAACTCTATATGTGTACATGAAATGTGTGCATGATACATAGATAGAATAGTTTTTCTCTGTCTATACTTAAAATATTTATTACAATTTATTCTGAAACGAACGTTAAATTAATTAAAAAGATGAAATTTTATTTTATTCTAAGATTAGATTCTAAGATTAGATTCTAAGATTAGATTCCTCTCTCTGCAGTTAAGATTTTATTAATAATTTATAGCATAGAAGGTATATACAAAATAAAAGTAAGAAATAAAGAATGTGTAATACGCTTAGCATAATAAATTCGCTTTACAAAATTTAATATGCAAGATATACCCAAGCAGAACAACAAGTCATTATGATATCAAAATGATGTCAAAATAATTCTAAAATGATCATTAAAAGTCATTTTTCAATCATTTCCGATTCATTTTAATATCATTTTGACGTTATTATGACCTGTCCTGCTTGGGTAATGTAGATATGTAGAATATAAAATTAACACAAAAATATAAAATAAATGCAAAATGATTAAATGTACGATATGCACAGTTTAATTTATATTTCTGTACATTAATCGTACATTAATCGCGCCTACGTAACGTTTGCCACCGTTGCACTCAAAAAGAAGAGAATCGCGCAATTTTTAAATTATAAATGCTATTTATTAAATCAAAATATGCTGTAGGAAATCGCCGCGCCGTTTTATTCAAATGACGTAAGCATGCATGTTTGCATGCACGCACGCACACACGCACGGATGCACGCACGTGACTACACCAAAGTGTCCTGTATGCTTACACCAAAGAAGGAAATAAAAGAAGCAGAAATAGGTTAAATGGGTTTTGCGAGAGCCGACTGAGTCGGAAAATACCTATGTCACAGTGAATCTCGACGTCAAACAACCGGTTCTTATATTATATATATGCATTACCATTTCTTTGCAGAAAAAGGGGCAGGTTTATTCTTCGTCCATTTCCTTGATATCGTATTTTCAACTCTTGCAAAAAAAAAAAACGTAAAAGATCCGTATCTTCAAGTTAATTACTCACATCCAGATTATTTCGAACTTTAAATGTCCATGCCGTTATCCTCCTCAAGAAAAAAAAAATATCGAAATAGCACCAATTTTTGTTTATACATGTTATATGAAAATTACAGCAGCTTGAATCACGAATAAAGAAATATTAATATCGAGACAAATTATAAATCCGAGATAATATTAACATTCTATTCTTATTAGCACACATTATGTAAGCGATCTGTTAAAATCATCAATTACTGACGACTACTTTAGTTTCTATTTCTTATGTCCTTCAAAAGAGTTTTATATAGTATATCGCGAAGGATAATATATCAAGTCCACTTTAGACAATCTTATAATTAATCAGAAAGATACATAATTCTATTTATAATTTTATTTTATCAATTAGGATGTTTAAAACAAATTTCAAATTCTGTTGTCGCCGCATTAAGAATTTCAATATTTGAAATTTGTTGCTATTCTTGTATCGAGCGTTAGAGAAAAACCATCTCTCTGTCGCTAAAATTAAAATTTCTGTGAAACATCTTGTATTACATCCCTATACAATAAGCATAGTGCATAGTGAATACAAAACGTCCGATACATATACAAGGAGGAAGATTCACCCAGCAAACGAGAATGGATTGAAATAGATTAAAATGGATCCAGATTTTCAGAAATATGGATTCATGAATGTTAAAATGAATCCTTTTCAATCCTGAATGCATTTTTATTCATCTATAGGAATTGTATAAAGCACATCTCTATGCCTTTTAATCTAAAAATAATATTAGCATTTTCTGTGCATTGCGAATACTACTCAATTCAGAATTGTGAATAGAAAGTACAGTTTTTTTTTATTCAGAGTTAAATTCAAAAATAATATCAGTCATTTCTGTGCAATGTGAATACTGCTTAATTCAATATTCTGAATATGAAATGTAGTTTTTCAATCCAATTGAATAAAAAAGTTTTTATTTAAAAATGGATCATAAATGCTTAAATTATTCAAAATTATAAGCAGGAAATTTTCTGTTTTAATCCAACTAAGTTCAAAAAAGTAACAAAAAAATAATCGAGCTATGTTTTTTTGTTTTTCTTTGATTAGAAGCAAAAAAATGTCACAGCGCGTGACATCGGCCAAGCGAGATTAAATTATCCGACACTTACCCAATGTTGTCTCATTGTAATGTAAATTATTTATATTTTATTATATCTGTTAAATAATGATATTTTTATTATATCTATATAATTTCGTGCACTAATTTAGCTGATTGTAATTGAAGTAGAGAATGAATAACATATTTACCAATTGAAGAAGTGGTGTAGAAAATTCATAATTCAGAGGTCCCAAGTTCGAAAATCCCACTAAGGTGCATTTTTTAATACTAATTTGAAGTAATTAATTTCAGGTATAATTATTATAAATGTCTTAGGAATAAAATTTGTAACCCTTAAATGTGAATGTTTTTTTTTTCGAATATTAAATTAGTGTCAGCTCGGATTCAATCCATTTCAATCCATTCAATCCATTTTCATGGATTTAAAATACGCATTAAAAAAATTTTAATCCATTTTAATCCATTCTCGTTTACTAGGAATATACTAGATTCTTACACACATCTATTATAGCAGTCTTACTTGGTTAGATACAAGGTCAGATAGTATTGGCTATCAAAGGATTGGTCTTACCCTCGATAGTGAAAATGCGCATTACCAAGTTGGCCTCGATACTTTTTGCTCCTGCATGCCTGTGTCTTTTTGCCTCATACAAGAAAATTCATAGCGGAAGAACTCGATTCTTTTGGCGACATGCTTCCTACATTATTTGCAGAAACGAATAATTGAAGAGAGAGTTTGTAAATCCCTCCTAGTAAAATAAAAATTTTTTCACGAAATTATATATTCGTAGAAAAAAATTAACGAAAAAATACATCATAAAAGTATACAGTGCCCATCAAAAGTTCCGGGCCGGCTGAATATCTCGGAAAGTATGCATTTTTGAGAAAAATATTTTAGATAAAAATTGCAGGGTTTAAAAAGATCTATTTAATGATCTTATCAGTTTGATTTTGGGTGATGTCACCAAGGTCAAGTCAAGATCACATCGATTTTTTAAAATGGAACACCCAACTTTTGTTTTCAGAATCTAATGTAAAGCTGATGTCAAAAGCTTTCCAAAACGCTATAAGAAAATATTTTTTTATTAAGTACTTTTTGAATTATGTTTGAAAGTGACAGTACCGCCGGCATTAGTATTACCCAAGGTGTCCGACCGACGCTAAAACCTTTTAAATGTTGTTCAGGATCATGTCCTGGATATCATTTATTAAGAGGCCATTGGAGATTATTGCTCTTATTTCCATTTTTGCACTAAAATTCATTTTTACATAAAAATTAAAATAAGAGATACAACCTCCAATGATTTTGATCTTGACAAATAATATCCAGGACTATAATGCAAGTAGACATAATGTGTTCTTGCACATGTTTATGTACTGCAGCCAATCAAAGCTTTTGAAGTCTTTTTTGCCATTTTTCGGTGGATTTTGTTTCAATACGCTTGCTATGACAGTAAAACTCAGTTTCACACATAGTAAATAATCACTTATTTATAATAAAAATAATTACTTATTTATTACTTTTTTTACTATTATTTATTACTTTTCACTTAATATATTTTTTAATCTTTTCAAATCATATGACAATCGTGCGAATATATAGGATTGTAAAATGGCGGAAAATGAGGTCAGCGCGTTACTATGCGCGAACTTATCTTATAAGACAAGTTTGCGTATAGTAACGTACGTTATTATAATAACGAACACACTATGTCTTGCATCATGATTCTGAACAATCAAGAAATTTTAGCCATCGGTCAGACATCTTGGGTAAGCCCGGATCTACAATAGATTTTTAAGCCATAAGGAATGGACGA